GGTGTGTGTTCACGGTGTGTGTGTGTGTTCACTGCTGTGTGTGTGCACTTTGGATGCAGAGCACTAATTCCGAGTATGGTTCACCATACTTGGCCACGTTATGTCACTTTCACTTTCACTGTATAGTTCCTAGCCATATCGGCCTATTGGAAAATGAGCCTATTTTCAAAAATAGTGGAGTGTTCCTTTAATACTGGAAGACATTTAAGAAAAAAGTTTGTTTGTATGTTATTGTCTTGTGCAAACTTGTCACCAAATTGTGATTGTGACATGTACAGAAAGTTCTCTTACCTGGCTGGTCAGGTGCTGTGGGTACGACTGTGAGTGTTGGACTAGACGGAGATGGCACTGTAGTTAAAGACGAGGTGTTGGTCTGGCTCGAGATGGTAGCAGCTGGCATTGTGGGCAGAAGGCTTGTCACAAGTAGCACTTGGGACAGTAAAATTACAGCGTTGAGTCGAGAGCCGAGAGAGTAAGTAAAGAGGGCCAGCTACCTCCTACTGTTAACACTTCTATTTTTAATTTTAGCTTTGGAAAACATACTTGTACTTATGCAAAAGAATACAAAGTCTGTAAAAATTACAAGTGGGTACATCTAGCTACATTTGGTTGTATAAAATAAAACTTTAATCACTCCGTTTTTTCGTTAAGAGCTGTTTTCTAGTTTTAATGTATTGCAATAAATGTCTGATGATAATGATTATTGCTTTTAGATGTTATTACTGATTTTATTATCCTACATTATATGTTTTTCCATGACTAGTATAAATTCAACCACAAAGCTAAAACAATATAAAACACCACAGACAGGCAATGCACTACGGTCCATCTACAACTAAACAGAAATGAAAAGGGACTTTAAAGTCAACATGAAATAAAAATCAGCACTATTTATTCCTTCAGAATTGCCTCATATTATGTTAGTGAAGTGCATTGCGAATAGCATTTCATGTTGACTTTCATGCAAAACAGGGAGCTAAAAGCACGTCCATTAAACAAGGTTTCATAGATCAAGTCTGTATCCACCAGCTGAACTGCTTTAAGATGCTAATGCAGTCTCTGCCTGTGTCACCTGGTGTGTTGGTGAGGGATTCAGGGACCTCTGAGCCGCCTGTAGGGGCAGGAGGAGAAGTCGATGTGTCACTGGAGGTGGCCGTGTCTAGTCAGCAGACAGAAGGATGAGCTCGCCAGTGCAGGGATCAAATACCACGACAGTATTGCCCATCAGAGCCTAAATCAGCCTGATCTCAGCTATTCGCTGACCACAAATAAAAGCACTGCTAAAGACACTTTGCTGCAGCCCACAGCAATAAACAGGACAAGCACTAAAAATAAGCACTCAGATAAGCACAATTGTGATGAGGTATGGATTTACACAAGACATCAGTCAGTCATAAAAACATGTCCTTATACTGCAGACAATAACAATAATGTGGTATGTCCATCACGGTCAAGGTGATATCATTTGTTTCATAGGTTTTCATTTATACAGTTTACACATACATTTTTATACACAAATTTATAGGTATATATCAATACTGGATATTTAACTCTGCATGCTCATTTGCACATTACCTTTGCCAATTTAAAAGTTATTTTTTTAAAACACAATTTTATTATGAATTTAATATTCATTTTAATATTAATTTATTTAACACCTAAATCTCTTGTAGTTAAGTGTTATATGTTATATGTAGTTATATGTATTTATGTATTTTTTATTATATATTTATAATATGTGTGTGTGCGTGTGTGTGTGTGTGTGTGTATTTCTTTTTTATTTCTTTTTATTTAGTTTTTTTTTTATATCGGCCATTACATTAATATATCAGGTAAAATTTATTATAACGTTAATATTGAATTATTACATTAATATATCAGTTTTTAATTCAAGCAATTTATTTAAAAAAAAATCTTTTGCATTTAATGTACTTTAAACCGTGACTCATACAAACAAACCAAAAAAAAATTAAACCGCATAAACACATTTCATTACATCAAATACACAAAATAATGTTCTTTTTAGCAGCATCATATGACCCCTTTAAATAATCTCCGTTATTTAAAAAACATATCGAATGCACTATGAGTATTCATAACATCTCTAAAGTTGTTTGTATAATAAAATGGCTTACATTTCAAATGTTAATATGACGTTGTATGTCTATCCAGTCACAGAAAAATGTACACATGCTAAAATCAGACTTTAGGTTTGAATACTGAGATCATGTTGTCATGGTAGCATCCAAACAGCACTGTTTTACCATAGTACTTTGGTTGAATGTGTGCACATACTAACTTGTGTATGAACTCATGTGTGCACAAACACAACGACAAAAAAAAAAAACTACCCTACTTAACATCAAATATGCTCCTCAATGCTGGCTCAATGCTAATCATCTCTGTCTATGCCAGAATTCACAGTACTGTACATCAAATATGGAACGTGGCATTTGGCGTCTCATGCATGTTAGCTTGTTTGCTGTTGTCTGGCTGTCACAGTAGGAGCAAGTGTCTTCCCTTTGGAAGAGGAATGACATGTCAGCTCACACTGCGCCGGTGCTGATGGGAGCTTTGGGATTCAGCGTGGGCAGCCCACAGTGAGCACCGCAGCAGGCCGATACTTCCTGCTCTCAGGCATGCTGATGTTTTATTAAGGTTGTGTCCCTCCCCAGTGTTTCATAATTAAAGCATGGCTGAAGACACTGTTCCCTAATTCCATGGGTTTATTGTATTTATATGGTTTGCTAATAAAAAAATGGCCCGTATTACCGATAGATGTTTTATTTAGTGTTGTGTCTTAGTGTCGTGGATGAAAATAATTTATGTCTCAGTCTCTCTGTAATAATTCAGAGATTCACACAGGGGTTTGTGTTGTTTGAGATCAGAGTGTTGCATTTTTATAATTATACAAACTGGTTTATATAAAGGGTGACATATCATGGAAAATAGGATTTTACTTTCTCTTTTGAAATAAGAGACTTTGATGTACTATATACTCTTTAATACCATAATGCAATGCAAAATTCCTTCCATCAGGATGATTATGGAAAGTCATGGCGCTGACGTCTGAACCAATGAATAGTTGAAAGAAGGTTATAAAGGGTTGGAACAGCATGAGGGTGAGTAAATGATGACAGAATTTTGATTTTTGGATGATGTAATACCTGAATGACCGACCACATTTACATATCATAGTTTATTCATTATTTAACATTTTTCAGTTATTAATTTCTCAAAAAAGTAAGAACATCGTAACAGAGGCCATTTACAGTACTACCAATCAAAAGTTCAGTAAGGTCAGTAAGATTTTTTGTAAATGTTTTGAAGTCTCTTATGCTTACCCGGGCTGCAATTATTTAATCAAAAATACAGTAAAAACAGTAATATTGTGAAATATTATTGCGATTTAAAATGGTTTTCTATTTTCTATTCATTTTAACATGTAATTTATTCCTGTGATGGCAAAGCTGAATTTACAGCAGCCTTTTGTGTCATTCTTCACTGTCACATTATCCTTCTGATATGCTGATTTGCTGATCAAGAAACATTTATTATTATTATTATAAAAAATTTAAATCTGTTGTGCTGCTTAATATTTGTGTGTGTGTGTGTGTGTGTGTGTATGTATGTATGTATGTATGTATATATATATATATACAAGTCTTTGCTGAATACAACTATTAATTTCTTTAAAAATCAGTCAATCAATCATACTAACTCCAAACCTTTGAACGTTAATGTACAGGGGTCTACAGCTGTTTTTAGGGGTCCCAAAGAAGGTCAAAAAATTTTCATGAAAAACTAAATTACTTTGTGTAAAAAAAAAAAGAGCCATCAGTCACGTTAATTGTATGATATTTAAAGCTCCAAAATGAAGATACGAAGAAATTAGGTTTTCATTATTGTGGCAGGTGTGTAAAATCACTGAATAGACAAAAAGCGGTTTAGGAGTTGATATGTTCTTGTTTCAACTGTGCTTTTTTAAAAATATTGGTCTATGTGGACTGTTTATTCAACGTCTTTCATAACGATTTTTTAACATGCTTCTTAACATGTGTCACACATGTCCATTCACACAGAATGATCAGTAGAAGCATCCAGAGAGGAATTATCATCCAGTGCCTTTTACCAGGCTACTAATCAAATTAGTCTCTTGCAGTGCAGTCATGCTTTCTAGACAAAGAGTGTATTTGTGCCTGTGTGAGAGAGAGCGAGGAGCTCGGTACAGGGCTGGTGAGCAGGGAGCGGGTAACAGGAGGGCAGGCATATGGCCATGAGGGGTTAACGTGAGAGCTGGAGCTCGGGCAGATTTCTCACGTCAAACCCCCCCCCCCCATCTGCCACCGAACCAGACCAGAACCAAAAGAGCAGGCAAAGATTGACCCGATCTACTGTAGACCGCTCTCAGTCTCTGGCCACATTAGAATAAGAAAGAGAGAAACAAAGAAAGAGTGTTTGTTTGAGAGAGAAAAAACAAACAAGACAGGCTTGCAATGTTGTGAATTAATGGCTCTGTTCCAAAGTCTAGTAAGCTGACTATTTAAGGCATCATAAGTGTGCTCCTGCTGTTCCAAAAGGTAGGAAGGATGACTGTGCTGCCTTCTAAGAAAATGCCTTTTGGACAGATTCTATGGCAGAATGTATGATTCACAAAGGATGCAATGCCAAAATGCATTGTGACATTCTATCCAAGATGGTCGACAAAGTATAAGAAATGCTGATTTATAAATATATTTATTCATTGCAAAAAGTATGGCTAAAAATAGTAAATGTAATAAAACAGTAGTCTATTTTACATAATATGTGTGAGTGCTACAGTATGAAAGTTATTTCCCTTAACCAGGAAATTAACGTTCTTAGAATTGACAGACAGTTGACCCTGAGAGGTCAAGTAAATATCTACAGCGGATCTAAATATTTATAATTAATTATAACTAGTTATGATTAATTATTCATATTTCCCCATGAGCTGATTCGCTACATATGTATTTTGTGCTTATTAGAGTTTCACAAACTCTAACACAAGAAAATCTACATCAATAATTTGATGTACTTGAAACAGGAAAGACCAAAATCTCCAAAACTGTTTTCCAAGATTACGTTTCAGTAGTATATGAGCATTTCAGAGTAGTGAAATGTAAGGTAACACTGTCATATTTTATAGTTGATTTGTTGTTGATGCTATTGAAATGTAGAACACACACTTATTGGATAAATTAATTGATGTTATTTAGATTAATTTGATTATTCTTTGCCATACCTTTTCTTTTCTTTATTAAGTTTTTTTTAAGTATATTTGTATATTTTATATATTTTTGCATTTTATATTTAAACTACTTTAGCTCAAAAATCAAATCAAATAAAAATGTAACTCTTCAGGTTGGTCCGGTTAATGTGCATGTAGATTCTAGAGTATGCAAACAGCCAAAATGATTGGCTCATTCAAATGAAAGGCGGGGCTTCTATTCCATCACGCACCATATTGAGCCTTACCATTTCTCCCATTCAGTTTTCCACAAATGGTCTGTCTCCTCACACTGTCTCTCCTGTGTGTTTGACTTAAAGCAACTGTATGTAAGATGTTATTTTATTTTTTCAATTACCATCATTCTGATGGTTAACTGACTTCTAATAAGGCGAATAACTTTTGTTTCTTTCTCACACTCTCCCCCAAACGTCTGTTCTGGGAGTATGTGAGATTGGTGAGTGGGTACGAAATTTCGTGAAAAGGGTGAATTATTACAGCAGCAACAAATGCACATGTGCAGCTATCCACTGTAATCATGACAGTGAATTCCACTCACTTAACTGTAGACAAAACTGCATACACTTGCTTTAAGGAGTGCTGGTTGTATGACCCATTAGGTTTCTGTCTGTTTAGATCAATCAGTCACTTAGGAGCTTCTATTTCAGTTAGCATGCTGTCTTAGAAGGCAGGCGCCAATGTAGGCTGTATAAGTTCACTTGGTTTTGGAACAGAGCCAGTTCCTTGCAGTAATTATGAATAATTTCACCTTTATTACGCACAGTTGCTCACTAAATCTTCAAGATGCTTCTCCCCGTGCACTGCCTCATACACTTGGGCATGAAGATGTGCAATAACATTGCCCTTGCTGGATAAATGCATGAGGGTTATTTTTAGTGTGATGGGAGGCCCACAAGATTAATAAACATTCATCATCCATTTCCTCCAAATTCCTGCTCTCTGTCTTTCTCTGTTGCATTCTCTCTCTCCCTCTTTCACTCTGTTTTCCTCTCTGTCTTCTCCTTTAGGACAGTGAGAGCTTTCTATCACAGTTTCCAAACACTCTATCCAGGAAAGAGGAATGGAATGAGCGGTGCTTCCATATTTTATTCCTCATCCTCTCACACAGTAAAATTGAATAAAAATAAAATAAAATAATGACACTGGATAGCAGTAGGGTTCAATCCCAGGACTGTTTGGAGATCATTTTGGTAATGATGTCTTGATTTGCCCCTGAAGCACATATGCTGATAACTTTCCCGTTTCAGTGTGACGAGTGCAGAGGTCACTGCTGCTGCAGTCCTACTAGAGCAACTAGATTTCAACAAGACTTGCTTCCACATTCTAATTTATTCTGGCCAGTATTTGCCGACTTGGACTAGAAGGCTTGTAAAATGACCAAACCCATTTTCTTTTTTAATATTGATGTTTACAGGTGGGTAAATCTGAAATCAGTCATACATGCCACAGTAATAGACTGGCATTCAATGAAGGGTAAAGTAATACACTGATTATTTCAAAGCAAACAGATTGGATTACAGAGTTAGATTTTTGATGTCTTGTTTATGTGCGACTAATGAGTTCTCACACATCGACTGAATTTACATTGCTTTCCAATTATTTGTGATTTCCTGGAAATTAATTTTTAAGAAATATTTAATAGTGATTTCACTCGAAAAAGAAAAGTTCTAGTTGAATACTTATTAAGTACACATCTACTGTTCAAAATATTTTTTTTCAAAGAAATTAATACTTTTATTCAGCAAGGATGCATTAAATGGATTAAAAGTGACAGTAAAGACATTTATAATGTTACAGAAGATTTCTATTTCAAATAAAGGCTGTTCTTTCTATTAATCAAAGAATCCTGGAAAAAATGTATCATAGTTTCCACAAAAATATGAAACTGTTTTCAACAATGATAACAATAAGAAATGTTTCTTGAGCACCAAATCAGCATATTAGAATGATTTCCGAAGTGTGACAATGTGACAATGAAGACTGCAGTAAAGATGCAGAAAATTCAGTTTTGTCATCACAGGAATAAATTACATTTTAAAATATATTCAAATAGAAAAGGGTTATTTTAAATTGTCTTCCTGATCAAATAAATAAAAAGACTTCTTTCAAAAACATTAAAAAAAATATTTCCAACTACAAACTTTTGAACGGTAGTGTAATTAAAAAATATATGTAGAAAATAGAATTTTCCAAAAGACATGAACATTTATTTTGTTCATATATATGTGTATTTCAGTGAGAAATGTATTTCCATGCGCATGGGAGCTCTGTAGTAACGGCCTCAAACATTAGCTGCGTCCCAAATGACGCACTATACACTATGCACTTATACACTATGTACTTACGCACTATGTACTCAATCATGAAGTGTATGAATTATATATGGTTATTTTGTCATTCATAATCGGAGTCTGGTAGTCCCTCCCCCTTCGCTACGTAATTAAAGCTGCGACAGTTGAGTGCATGAAGTGTCCAACATTCCACACTTAATTTTTTCGGTTATTTAAGTGCATCATCCGGGTATTTAAAGTGCACTTTTTCTTTTTGGAATTTTCAGTGAACACATTACTTGCACTATTTATACTACAAAACGTCATAGAATAGTGCATAAGTATGCGATTTGGGACACACCTATTGTCTTTTTAATTTTAATGTCGTGTTCATTGTATTGATTTAAAACTTTGTTTCTCAGCTAACTGATAAAAACCCGTGCACCCTCACAGAAGTTACATAGCAGCCAGCCAATCAGAACTTGCAGTTTCTCTAGCTGTTGCTAGTTATCCGTGGGGGTGTTTGAGACTGAGATTAACTGGAATCCAGATGTTTTGCATGCAAAAGAAAGATCTGACTCAAGTTTCATAATCTGACTATTCAGATTTCAGCAATGTCCTGAAAGAGTCCTTGGTGAGTGTCACATCATTAAGCATACATAAAACATTACTTTTTGTGGACAAATGTTGACAGACCTTCAAAATCTGCATTGCATACTGTGGAAGATTATTTTTCCCATTCCAAACAATCCCAGTTCTTTCCAGTGAGGGTTATTAAATATTTCCAGCTTGGCAATGATTGAAAAAAATGACATCACAAACTCCAAAATCAGGCCATTCTGACAGGTCCTAATAATTTAGTTGATAATTTCAACATATTACTTTGAGTGAAATAATGTATTAATGTGTCTTCTGCATGTGTTTTTGATGGCAGGCAGCGGGACCCTGAGGCGTGTGAGAGTCCATGGCCCGACACACACCGTGATAAATTGCTCTCACTCCAGTGAGTGTTACTCATTGGTCAGAGGTTGGGAAGAAAAGATTCCCAAAAGCACTGTGATGGTACCATAGTACAGTTATGGTTTCAAATGGTAATAATACCACATGCCAGTACTTGTGGTACATGGGCAGGTGACATGACTTGTAATTTCTCTTAAGGCCATTTTCTCTTATATTTTCATCAATTTGTTGGACAGGAAACCATAAAAATAAAGCAATTTTAGCAATTTCAATAACATGGTTGTTGTTTTGCAGTATGCCATCAATATTGTCAAATGTTAATATATACAGTATAAAATATTGTTGAAATATATTGGACTTATCTAATTGGGTGTGTTTCCAAAAAGAGCTGGTCATGAATTTACATATTACATACCTTAAAATACTAAAAACTTAGATGAAGTATATAAAACAGTATAAGTATAAACAAAATCCAGTCTCTTATACAAATATATCCACTACCGTTCAAAAGTTTGGGGTCAGAAAGGTTTTTTTAAAGGCTGCATTTAATCAATAAAAAATACAGTAAAAAAACAGCAATACTGTAAAATATTATTACAATTCAAAGTAACTTTCTGTTTTATTATATTTTAAAATGCAATTTATTCCTGTGATGGTAAGACTGAATTTTCAGCATCGTCTTCAGTGTCACATGATCCTTCAGAAATCACTCTAATATGTTGATTTGCTGCTCAAGAAACAATTCTTATTATTATCAGCGAAAACAGTTGTGCTGCTTAATATTTCTTGGAAGAGTGGAACATTTTTTCAGGATTCTTTGATAAATAGAAAGTTCAAAGGAACAGCATGTATTTAAAATAGAAATCATTTGTGACATTATAGATTTCTTTACTGTCACCTTTGGTCAATTTAATGCATCCCTGCCAAATAATTACACCTAACTTTTCCCCCTAATGACCTCAAACTTTTTGAAGAGTAGTGTAAAGCTTTATGTTCATTTTCATGTCCATTTGTCAACTGCCCATATACATGTACCATGTAATTTACATGGTACTCTATGGTATTTCCTCAGAATACCATAGTATTAACATGACCAAAAATGCACTGTAATACTAAGATACTTTTTGATACTTTTATGCATTTCTGTTATGTTCTTCTAGTTTATCTAAAGAGCTCTTCTACTGAACACTGCTCACCTACTACAAGACTAACCTATTTTAACCTACAGACCATCACACCACAAACTGCACTACTCTATGGACTTTAAACCAGCTCTGACCTGTCAACGTGCTTACAGACGCTGATGTACCCGGAGTCTGGGATACTGTGACAGGTTGGACTGATCCTGTGGTGGCTGGTGTTGAGGTCAGTTGGATTGTGGGTGGTGTTATGGATGTAGTTACAGACATTGGTGCAGTGGCAGGGTCAAGCGTAACTGCTAGTGTTGGCACTGAAAGTGAAGAACAACATTATAGCCTGTTTTTTTCTTCTTCTGGCAAATGACTGGAGGTGCACTAAGTAATTTTTCTGGTCTTTGAATTGATACTGACACCTACACTACTGGTAGTATCATGCAAAAGCTAATTTTTTTGGTTAAAGATGACATTGATTTATACCAGGCTCAGAAGCACATTTATTACCCGTTATTAATTAATTCGACAACAGAAAGTGTCGGAAAAATGTTGGTAGGATTCAGCTGGTCATGTGATCTCAATATGGCCACCACCAAGAGAAGAGAACTTTCTTATCTAATTAAACAGCTTTTATGCAGCTGATATGACTAGATCGTTAATCTCATGCAAGTCTAAACCATTTGAAACTTTTTCAAAAGTGCCACTGAATTCTTCCGATGCAAAACTTAGTAATATATGTGCCACTAGCATCACTAAAAATGCAAAAGTTTCACCTTTAAGCTGGAAAAAAATACCAAGTGCACCTTTAAGAATAATCTTGAGGAAAAAGATTCTTCTACATTCCTCACGAGATCAGTCATCACCTCAGATTTCCAACAAAACAGCATTAGACCCCCACAAATGGGCAGAACTGCACTGAAACTTCCTATAACCTAGAGCGCACCCTCATACATCACTAGCCAGCATTACAATGCTTTGCGTCTTACATCACATGAAACATTTATGAAGTAGAAAACTGTGGAAAAATGCATCACACCATCAGAGTTCACAGTGACAGTTAAGGGACGGATCAGAACCGACGTCTTGTTAACGACATGAAATAAAGAGGCCAAAAAGAGCAAAAAAAAAACAGTCAGCGTATTCCATTAGCATGCCACTTACTGTCAGATGTTCCCGACGCCTCACCTGCAAACGGAAAGAGAAGAAGTTAAAACAAATGAGAGAGTTTATTTCTTGTGGATTTATTTTATTTATTCCTCTACCTCTCTGGAGCACATCTAAGAGTTAAAAAAATGCAGAAACCTGCCTCGCTTTTGCATGCAGTGAACGTACAGTAGCGATGAACTGTACATTTTTCCAATTCAATATGCCTGTTTTCGTTTTATTGCTAAGTTTACTTGACAGCTTTGTGCTATTCTACTTTCCTTAGCGAGTGAAGATGCCCCAGTTTTCTACACGGTACGTAAATCATTGCTTCCTCTCAGGTGTTGTGCGCGTTACTGAATACAGCAGGTGTATAATTCGTACAAATGTTCGGGGAGCCGTTCGGGGTGGGCAGGTATGAGCCGGGCTTCCAGGACTTGGCTTTGAATCCTCTCTCGCAGGCCGCACAGTCTTGTCCAGTGGTGTTGTGCTCGCAGTTGCACTGAAGGCTCCCGTCACGGAGGGAGCACTGACCGGCGTGGAGGTTACACTTACACCTGTGAAAACAGGGAACACCAATTAGCACACTTGTTACATCGCAGCCACAGGCAAGGGCGAAAGCTGCACCACTGAGGACGATTCCCACCTTTTATTTGTTACGGTCACTCGAGGTAGCTCATTAGCTCACCTACTCGGCTCAAGAAAATAGCTAGGCTAATTAGTGGAGTTAGACACTGTAGTGCATGGCTGAAACAGTACCTGTAGGGAATATTGTGGATTCTACAGATCTTTATGTTGTGGTTGAGGTGTATACAGTTATAAAAATGGGGCTTTTGGACCAATTTCGGGACAGTCAGGGACAAAAATCGAGACTTGAAGCGTTTTTAGTTTTTGCTTAATTACAGTGCATCTGGTTAGGAGCATGTGCACTGCTATAAATCCTATTATTAATGAGTATTTTGTCTTATTTTCCAGTTAATTTATAAAAAATTCAAACAAGAAAAATTTACTTGAATATCAACTGTATATTAGATATAGAACTAAGAGGATAGATGTATATCAATATATGAGTGTATATTGTCTTCATGCACTGGCATTTTTTTTTTTTTTTTTAAGTCTAAACATGATATTCTGTATTCATGTGAAAAAAAATACTGTCAGTACAGTGCAGTGTTATTGTAAACTACAACTATTAAAAATCAAAAATAAATGTTTTTGTTAATTCAGATAAAGCTGAAATAAAATAAAACAAGGTAACACTTTACAATAAGGTGTCATTTGTTAACATTAGTTAATGGATTAACTAGCATGAACAAACAATGAACAATATATTTGTTACAGTACTTATTCATCTTTGTTAATGTTAGTTAATGAAAATACAGTTATTCATTGTTTATTCATAGTTCACAGTGCATTAACTAATATTAACAAATACAACTTTTGATTTTAATAATGTATCAGTAAATGCTGAAATTAACATTAACTAAGATCAATAAATGCTGTAGAAGTATCGGTCATGCTTAGTTCATGTTAACTAATACAGTTAACTAATGAACCGTATTGTAAAGTTTTAGCAAATATAAATGGTGAAAAAAATAGATGAAAAAATTTTAGATAGATTTTAGATTTCTAATTTTCATTTAAGTTGATGTACTAAAATTATTAAAAAATTAAATAAAAATAAATTAGTTACAAATATTTTTTTTAAATATACATGACAAAAGCACATAACAAAATTAAACTTAAACTTAAAACTTAAATTAAAATTGATTTTGAAAATATAAAAATCAATTCTTATTCAAATATTAATGAATATTTTCATAGTACATAAATTATACTAAAAAACACTGGTGTAGAGGAGATTTTTGTCTTAATGCACTGGCATATATTTTTTTCTATTTGTTTTAAGTATAAATAAGTTCAAATCAAGTGAAAAATCTGCCAGTCTGCCACTAAAAAAACTATTAAAATCATTTTATTAATTTAAATAAAACTGAAATAAAATATAATTTTTAGATGAAAAAATTTAACAAAAAAAAACTTCAAGTAAAAGTAAAAAAGTAAACTTTTTTTTTTTCAGTTAGTTGTCAAGGAAACATTTCTAATTTGTGTTTAAGTTGAAGTATTAAATTACTAAATCGGCAATAAAAATAAATTAAAGCCAAGTGTAAATATTTAAAAATGAATAAAAATGACAAAAGCATAACACGACTTAACAAAACATTCTCAGATAGTTTTACTGGAAAACAAGTAGGAAAAGAGACCGATTCTCATAAAGAAGGCTTTTTTTTTCAGCTTGTGGTCCTGACCACTTCTGTCTGCACTTTTCTAGAGATTAGTGTGATCATTTTTACTTTCCTAGATGTTTCTCATCTTTCATCATTGTCAAGAATCTTCCCAAGACCCATGTTTGTAAGCACTATAGAGTCTGTGTTTGTGTTTGTTGTAGATGCAGGTGAGTTTGCTTCTCTTTGTCTCTGATGTTGGAGATCTTTGGGGACAGTAAACAGCATCTGTCTGCTCTACTCCAAATATAGCCACCGTCTACTGGGGGGGAAGGGAATACCTCAAGAAAGATGGAACGAACAAATGAGAGAGAGAGAGAGAGAGAGAGGGAGTGAGTAATGATTACCGCTAGTAATGAGAATAAATGGGGGATATTGAGATGGCCTCGCCTTGTCTCTCCTTATCGTTGGCTTTATAAGAAAAATCTGCAGTGCTCCACAAAATGTCGCTTCCCTCCTTCGAGTTTATGAGGAATGCTCCGGCTATCTGACAGCCAACTTTAAGGATAGTTGAGATTAAAGGTCTGGGGAGGAAAGCAGGTTAGTATGGAAATGACGACTTTTGCCATTACAATCTCTCTAATCAAATGAGTGTGTAAATCCCAATGCATCCGATTTTTTTCATCCTCACTAGAGCGAACAGCTATCCATTTGCATGAAATATTTATGAAGCCGACCTATATATTTCCATGCGGACACCCCATAACCAAACCTTGTTTTGCCGTATAATGAGGTCATACCTCGCCCTCTGAAGATTCCCTTGAAGAAAGTGATGCCAGCACTTAAATTATTTATATAATTTTTTTTTTTATTGTATGTATGTCTGTATTTACATATATATATGTATGTATAAGACAAGAAAGTGACACTGGCCAGACTCAAACCCTAATTTCCATGTGCAAAACAGGTACTTTTTAAAATCTGTTTCCACCTTGTATTTTTACTACATCTTAAACATGAATGATACATTAGACAGGATGGTTTACATACTCAATTTCATTTAATTAATTAGGTCTGTTTTTTCGAAAGCCTGAGGAAACAGACTCCAAGCCACCCTCTGGAGGCCTTTAATTCGTAATTAAAACCCAATGTCAATCACACACTCTTTCATTCGGCTGTTTCTCCAAGACAAAGTGCCCATCAAGCTCCTATCATGACAAATTAATCAGCGGCGTACCACTTCATTGCAGAGATTCTCGCCTTAAGGAAGACCTCTCTACTTTTGAGAGGCAGCGCAGGATCTAAAGCGAGTGTTAATCAATTAAAGCACGGCAAGGTCTCGTATCAATTTCTGACCAAATCCAGGGTGTGTGCTTTACAATCCTCTTAGGTACAGATTGGAATTAGAACCCACCCTGTGAGGAGCGATGAGAAACGGATGAGAATGAGTCTTAGTGTAATGTAGTGCACCGTGAGCAGATACTGTATAGATGTGTATGAAGAGTGTCTTGCTCCATGTGTTTGTTTTGCTTGAGTTGCATATTTGGGTGTTTCATATCTATAGACACTTTTATGCTCAGTTCTTTTTTTTTAAACTAACTAAAACTTTTGAACTAAAAGTAAAAAAATAAATTAAATAAAATAAGCAGCACAACCATTTTTAGTAATAATAATAAGAAATGTTTGTTGAGCAGCAAATCAGTATATTAAAATTATTTCTGAAGGATCATGTGACACTGAAGACTGGAGTAATGATGCTGAAAATTCAGCTTTGCATCTCAAGAATAATTTCTTAAAATTTTATTAAAACAGAAAACAGCTTTTTTAAAATTGTAATAAAATTTTACAATATTACTCTTTATTTTTACTGTATTTTTGATAAAGAAAAAAATGTAGCCTTAGTTAAAATAAGACACTTATTTCAAAAGCATTAAATAATCTTACTGACACCAAACTTGGTATGGTAATGTATTTATTCTACTTTTCCTTTCCTACATGAATTTCCTTTCATGTATAAATTTAGTTTTACTCTGAAAACTAATTAAATCAAATGTTTTACAATAATTACGACCCTTAGCAGTTACATCATTTCCACTACAACCACCAGATTTGCAAAGTTTTTTAAAATTTTTTATTTGTGTACTTGGTTACTAAGGAGAAAACCGCTTCAGAGAAACAGGAGAAATGTGATGTATAAAGAAAAATCAAGGTAAATATCACTAATTATTATTGTAACCTTATATTTGGTCATTTCCAGTCAAGCTTTAATTTTGTCAAATTATGCAAAAATTATTATATAATAATTGTATTTGTGTTTTTTTTCATGTGTATATATGTGTAAGTATAATTCTATAAATTCAGCACTAGCAAGTCCAAAAATGTCATTTCCACCACAGAATGCTGTTAAATGCAATAAATCATTAAATGTGATGGAAAATACATTGTAGTGAAAATATTCACATTGTTTTAGAAAAAAAATACAAAAATGACAGAAGTGAGCAATATACATACACACTGTCATACAATAGTGGGGTAATTAAGCTAGTGAGAGTATGAAAAGTGTTTTGAGAAAGTTAACACAGGAATGAAAGTGTTCCTAGTCAAAGCAACACCTAATGAAGGTGCATTCAGCACATTTAAACAAGTAGTGTTAAATCAGGAATTGCATCTTAAACAAAAGTTGCCAGATAGAAGCGGCACAGTCGCATCGGAGACTAATGCAGGGCAGCTGTGGGAATCTAACGTCCCGTGAAAAAAACAGCACTCGAAGTGATGCAAGCCCTTGGCAAAAACAATGCTAAAAAGAAATCTGTCTGGTTTGACAGCTGAATAAATGCCTGCTGGCATTTTGTAAATGTGCATGGAAAGTGAGTGTGAAAACTGCAAACGATACAGGCGCTAGCTTGCAGATTGGTATGCGTTCCTCATCATCATGAATATTCTAAATTATTGACACCTCACCAAAAAAAGTGCTAAGTAGACAGTAAAGTCTTGTGATTAAAAACCAAGGACAGAGGGAATCATTTACGCCACTGTTCAGGACAGAGAGGGCAAGGCTGTTTTGCTCTTATTAAAACGCTGGCATCATGGGGTTAGATGGGCTGATGAACCAGCTCGGGTGCGTTTCTAGCGCAGAACGCTGAGAATCAGGCAGCCTCACTGCAGGTTGCAGGGGAACAGCGGGAGGCATCCTGGACCTCAGTAGGGGGTGAAGTAGCAGCATCTTTTTCTGGGGTGTGAGGTGAGGTTTCTCTGCCCTGCACTCACAGAATCTGTGTGGATCCAGGGCAGCTATATCCAGACACCGCAGGGCTGAGACCCCACTGCTTGGG